GGAGGAAAGAGTGAGAGTGTGTGTGATGCGCGCGCGCGCGCGCGCGCGCGCGCGTGTGTGTGTGTGTGTGTGTGTGTGTGTGTGTGTGTCTGATTGATTAAAAAAAAGAGAAAAAGAAATTGAGAACGAGCATGTGAATGCATAAACGCGTGTATTTAATGTAAATAATGAGAAGAAAATCCATTTTATTTAATTTGTGAGTAGTTGATACCCCAGTGTTCGTCAATCGCGGATATTATTTAAAGCAATAGGATAGAGGTTCTCAACTCTTTACACACTTTCGATCGGTTTAATGAAAATTACTAGAGAAACATACATTAATATAAACATAAACTTAAATTTCTATACAAAAGATAGTCTGGGCAAATTTACCTTAAATCTTAAATTAAATTTTTCCCAACATTATTTTATTGTAATAGCGAAGTGATAAGTCGCTGATTAACTAATAATGTCAACTGATTTGGGAGACAAAGAGAAACGAAGAAAAAACGTCATTGAGGACCTCTGTGATAGGCATTTGTTTTGTGTTGTATATAAACTTCGAAGATCCTAGATAAGCGTGAGTACGGTGCGGTACAAAATTTGCTCCACCCCCGTAAGCAAAGTTGACCTACGAGATCGGTTTATGGTTGGGGTGATTAAAAGTTGCCATACGAATGATCCAGGATGCAAAAAACCAGTACCTATCATATATCCATTAAAAATATATTAATTTATTCTCCAAATCACGCCGGCGTTCAGTCATTGCATCCCTTTCCCCCCTGTCATCTCATTCCTCTTCTCTTTTATCGCATCTGAAGAAAGCAATGACAGGATAAGAGCGTAAGTATGAAACTAAATTAATTTGGACTTGGTAATTACGTGATGTGAGTTTGTTATTTCAGCGAAAGAGTTAAAAATATTTCTTGTTAAAAACTATTTTTTCGAAATATTTTTTCTATGTTCTTAGAATAAAATTAAATTTTATTAACAGTTTCGTTCGAAACTTCATGTTGGAATGTTTTAAATGTGAGAGAATACAACACGTCCAATTTTCACTAGGCGAAAGTCAATTCGAAGTTTACCGAAGAATAAATCGCGTTTGCAACACGGATATTTATGTAAATTCGTACGAGCGCGATTTATGTTCGCCACGAATCGGGATGCTCTCGCTGAAAGTCGAGAGCTTTTGTTCGTTTAACGTCGATGCGAGGGGAAGGAGACTGGCGGAATAATAACGATATACGACAATGCGGCCGTTGTCAGCGTCGCGTGGCGAACAATGAACCGCGCATAAATCATAAACACGATGCAACATTGCTTCCGCTATTATATTGTAGTTGCAATGCTATTTATATTCGGCACTGTTAAAAATATCGTGGTCGCCGATTTCTAAAAGCCTTTTCGAGCAGACCTTGCATTTTCAACGGAATTTCGGTATTGCTCGTTTGGATTCTAAATTGTGCAGTTCTGTAAAATATTGAAATAATGATAATGAAATAGAGATGTGATTTTATATATGTCGTGAATTAATTTGATAGTTGCTAAAATAATGAATAGCAATTCAAAGTTGTAATCCAAAACAAGAAAATATCAACAACAAAATAAACTATCAAAATAAATTTATTACATCAATTTAACATTTGTATCATTTTTAAAAATTATGATTTATGATACTGAATCTTCTGAATCTGTTTCACATTTCAGAATATTTTTAAATCACTATAAAAATTTTTGTTATTTGCTTTTTGTGTGTAATAAGTTACATTGTTTTTTATTATATATATATATATATATATACACACACACACATTATATATACATATTATTTATATATTATATATTATATATAAAATAGCGATGGTCTTTAACAATGATGGTATGTCTTGAAAATTCTTTTTAGCAATTAATTATTTTAAAATGATTTTACCAAATTTAATTAAAATAAAAAAATAAATATTTAAATACCTTAAACATTTGTGATATATACGAAACATTTTGTGATATAATTAAATATTATTAAATTCTTGCAAATTTTTGTGACACATATAAGTATAGATTATTTTAAAAAATAATTAAAAATCTAAATTTCAATTTTAAAGAAAAATTTTTAATTAGAAATTTTAAAAAATTAGATAAACTTTTTTTTATAATCAAGTAGCAAAATAAATACATAATTATAATTATCTTATATAAACAATTCTCTTAATTCCTGGAAAAGAAGTGACAACATAATACGTGGCAGTTTCGAAATTCATTTCTTTAAATATAAGACAAATTCACGATCAACAGCGTCAGAAGAGCAAGTTACTCCAAAATGGCGTTGCCACTTTAGCGAATAGAAATCCGCGGACATTGCAAAACGACCGAGAAGGATAGTAGGGGCACAGTGGATGGTAATGTGCGTCGCGCGAAGACAATAAAACGCGTCGCCGCTCGCGATTTATGTTACGGGCATTTACGCGCGCGCGACTGGGCGCTTCCACAAAGGGCCATTGTGCGACGCGGCGCGGTTAATATTATTAGCCGTCGAGGAGCCGCGCTTAAACGGCCGATGCTTTCTGCCCTCGCCTTCGCCCTCGCCTGAGGACTCTATTACCAAAGTCCAATCCTCGCAGCGGCTGCCTCCTCTTCCTCGTTCACCGCATACCAGTCTATTGTCGCCGGGCACGAATGGCATTACGTGCCCTCTTCAGTCTAGCGGGCTTCAAAGCGGCGCTACTCGATTGTCGAGGAAGATCATAATGTCCTAGGACGCTCGGAAGAAAGACGCTACACGCGATTCAGCATTCTACTTAACCATATCAATGAAATTAAAATGCAAGATTTACGTTTCTTACCAAGAAACTAAATTTCTTATATTTCTTGATGTACATAAATGTGTTTGCAATTTTATATTATTTTATAATTTTATTTAACCTAAAAATTATTTATATATATACAGCTAAATTTGGAATGTGACCTTTTAGTTTAAAATTTTTAGCGTGAGTATGGAAATATTTATTATTTTTATCTTTTTTTGATGTAATCCAACGTTAAATTTATCTTGATTTTATACATGCACATGCCGCAAGAATTTGTAAAGTGCGTGATGATTTATTCGCATCGTTATACGGATTTCTTTAGTCGTGACAAATCACATCAGTAATGTAGCAAAGCCGCTCAAATTAAGATTCGTTTGTTAGTTTATGCATAAAATTCTAGCGTGTGTATATTTGTTTTTATTTTATATGTGCATATATACTTAAAATTTCAAATATATATTATAATACATAATATATTTATAAAATTTATACATATAAATAAAATCAAAATTGTAGAGTAAATGCCAAAAACATGTTCTATGATGAAATATATTTTATGGTTGGGCTTTCCGACTAGACTCGGAATATATCCTTACTAGATTTTGTATCACTGAGGATGATTCAAATTCAAATCGAACGTTTAGCACTTTTTATTAATAAACATAGTTAAGATTAAACATATATTTGTGCACTGTTTACAACGCTGATACTTATTAGCTATATTATTGTCATATTTTTAAATATATTTTAAATATATTTTAGTTATAAGATCATAAAAATAAGATAGATAAGATATAATGTTTAATTATTCATTTTAACAATATATAAATAACGATTAGGTTTCGTTTGACTGTCTTCTTTCTTGCTACTGAAGCAATTGATTTCACACTTGAGATCTACGTAAGAGAATTCGGGATATTGTCACGTTGAAATTTATGATTGTCCAGACAGGCGTCACCTGGCTTGCGACCGGCACATTCGGAAATCACGAAAACGCGGCGTTGCGCAGCGCTCATTAACGTTCCCGCGATGATTCTCGAGGAATATGGATGTAAATTATTCTAAGATTGCTATTAGGAGCCAGACCGGCCACCTGCCGGATTTCACACATGGAGTTGCCAGGTATTAATAATCCGTAGATTTACAAGATCCTCGATTACCACTCTCCTTTATTAAGAAAATGTCATTGTCAAACGGACATATATATCACTGGCTCGTCTTCTGTTTAAACTGATTATAATGTGAAAGAGAAAGAAAAAGATAAAAAAGGAAAGACATAGAGAAAAACAAATGGGATCTTATAGATCTTTTATTCATTGCTTTATTGCTAAATTTTTAAAATAATTATTTCTTTCGCAACTCAATGTCTCGTCGATTATAGCACTTTATCAAAGTTTTGACACTAACTTGACTTGCGCGACTCTTTGTGAATTTTCTATGATTTTTCGGTTTTTATTATTTTAAAACATGAATTCACTGATTTCGAACTCTTCTCGACTGAACTCTTCTCATTGCTGACACAATTCGTGTAGAATTGTATATAATAAATAAAAAATAAATGATCAGAAGCATATAAGCGAAAACAGTATGTATGCAAAAATTAGTATATAATTAGTGAAAATAAATACATAAATTAATAAACAAAATTAATAAACGACTCTTAATGCCTCTAAAATAACGACTCTTATTTTATCACCGATTTTAACTCCGCTAAATAATGTGTAATTTGTTTCCGCATATAATTTTAATTTGTAACTATGTTTCTTAGCTTTATTCATTTTATACAATTTTTACTGACGGAATATACCTAGTTAGAAAAATAATGTGAGAAACATTCCTTATGTATTGACGTGTATTGTTAAGATTGTTATGTTTTTTCAAGTCTTGTTTTCAATTAATTTCAATTTTTATCACACCGAGGATGACCTAATATAAGATCGACCACGACGAATGTTTATTAATTTTGTTTATTAATTTATGTATTTATTTTCACTAATTATATATTAATTTT